GTATGTGAGCGTCTGAGTTCAGAGATTGTATTGAATTCAGCTTTGTGTCGTAAGTACCTAGCCCTGGACACAATACCGGTAGTTAGTAAATCCACGTGGAATGGGTGAAAAAGGTACCAGGAATGCAACCTTGTCTGACAGATGATCATGGAGTTTTTATTTTTAACCCTTGTGGTATTGATTATTCTTTGTCCGCCATTCTGCCACCCATCCTCCCCACCAAAGCCTGAAATCTCCCCATTATTAATAAATATATTTATAACAAGCGATGACCTTTATCTAAAACCGCATAGTGGAAAGAGCAAAGATTTTGGACGTAGAACTGAATTTCAATCTTTGGGCATCTTTTGTAACTTCTTCATGCCTCAACCTGTCTGACAGCAACAAATATGGCTGTTTCTACCACAAGCACGAACACTAGCGGTGTTTACTGCGCACTCACCCAGAGCTAGGAAATGTGCTGGGGTCTTAACATAAGGTTGGTATCTAACCTGCACAGCACACCTGGGAGGCAGGTCTCATTATCTCCATTTTCCCCTGACTCAGAGACACTGAGTCTCCCATTCAGTGTTACACCACCAGTCAGGGAGAGCTGGGAGAGAGATAATGACTTTGTGAGGACTTCACGGCTGGCCCTCCATAAACAGTTGCTATTAAGATGATGGTGATAATTCAGGAGTCCTTGGGGTAGGTAACACAAATGAGTGCACAGCATCTTAGTGTGAGTAAGTTTATGAGATCAGTTCCCTCCTTGATGACAGAGACAGTCAGCATAAAAGCTATCTCTACTGGAGGGGGCAGGAGACTTAGGGATGCATTAGAGGGTGAGGAGGCGGGAAGTGATCACATTATTCCCAAATTAAAACAGTCCTTTTGAGAATATACTCTTCAGTATTCAGCTGTGGGGGTGTGTGAACATGGGGGATCAGGAAACAGACGCTAAGACACATTTCATCCATTCCACAATTTACCCACGGCGTGTCTTGCTGTGCGGGAGGCTTGCACACCACCAGGAACGGGGTGGAGCGTTCTGCCTTGCTCTTCCCTCAAGAGAAATCTGTTGCTGTATGTTCAGCCTTCGGGCCGAGTGTGGCATCCCACGGTGTTTCAGCGGAGAGCTGTCAGGAGAGAGGAATAACGCTAGCAGCGTTATCTGCTGACACGAAGGACAGGAATACACTTACAGCCTCGACTTGGCTTCTTGCCTCTTGTTCAGGCACCAAATAGCTGGGCTTCCTGACAACCTCCCTGAGACACCCTGAGACACACTCGCTTACTCTAGCATTATTGAAATCTCTCTAAATGGTACACTGCTTTGGTTCCTCCAAGCCTAATCTCTCTCTCTTTTTTTAAATTGAAGTACAGTCAGTTACATTTCTGGTGTACAGCACAATGTCCCAGTCATGCATATACATACATGTATTTGTTTTCATATTCTTTTTCATTAAAGGTAATTAAAAGATATTGACTAAAGTTCTCTGTGCTATACAGAAGACATTTGTTTTTTTTTAATCTATTTTTATATATAGTGGTTAACGTTTGCAAATCTCAAACTCCCAAATTTATCCCTTCCCACCCCTTTTCCCCCGGTAACCATAGGATTGTTTACTATGTCTGCAAGCCTGTTCCTGTTTTGTAGATGAGTTCATTAGTGTCCCCTTTTTTTTCTCTTTAGTCTCAGTTCTCCCCTTTTCTCTCTTTAATCTCACTTCTCAATCCTTTGCATCCTCCAGACTAAAGGAACAAGAAAGAGTACAGATCAGAGGATGTTAGCCTGGGGTCCACAGACCCCAATTAATAGGTTCCGGGCCAATCTTGAACCAAACCCCTGACCTCGCAATAAGAGATCCAGACCCTCTCAATTTCCTGAGGCTACAGGTAAGATTAAGAAGTAAATATGCCTAAAGAGGGCTAGCAAGCAAAACAGTTGTTCATTTTTAATAGTTTATTATAATAAATGAACATTTTCAGCACAAAACAATATACAGCCATACAAATGTGCAAAAAGCCTAGGATATTTGCAGTGTTTATTTAAAAATACCGAGTCCAAGTGCATTTCAGGCAGTGTGGCCCAACTGTGGGTCACAAGGTTACACAAGGGTCACAAGGTCGTCTGGCAAATGATTTTTTTTTTCAAGAATGTGTCTCCGTGAGCGTGTGTATAATCTCATTTCAAAAGGAAGGTTCATAGTCAAAATTTGGGGATTTCTTGGAGTGTGACTCCCTGGCCACGTGATCTCCCTGGTTCCTCTCTTTACTCAGCCTTTCCTGAGATGCTCTGTCCCCGGCATTGAATGCAGACCTTCACGCTTGTGTGTTTATTTTCTAGATTTCCTAAGATTCTCCAAGAAATCCTTCCTCCAAAAATATTAAGCGCTACTTATCTCAAAAATAGCCTAACCGATAAAACCCAGACCAATGAACAGAGCTCCTCCTTTTGAAATTCAGAATACTCTTCTTCTAAATTGTAAAAAATATTTTAGCCTTGCAATTTAATGTAATATTAAACTCTTTTAAGTGACTTGCTTTTCTTTTTTTTTTACAAATGTGTAATAATCTTGCAATTCTTCTTGTTTTCTTTATTTGCCACCTCTCCATCTTTATTCTAGAATCCATAAGGTTACAAACAGGACATTGGTCATAGTGAAATGGCAGTGGTCTAAACTCTACCTGCTACTCCAGCTGTGTGACCCCGTGGAAGTAGCTTCCCCTTCTGGTACTCAGTTTCTGTATCTCTAAGATGAGACGGTGATTCCATTTCTCAGGCTCCTTTTAGCTTTAAAAGGCTGTGTTTTTTCTTTCTCCCACTCTCCACTTCCTTCCAGACTGTCCCCAAACTATTTTAATATCCAGTCTCCAGAGCTATCATCATGGGGTACTGGCCCACTCTGTTAGACATAAAACAATTTGCTCTTAACTACAACCAAACCCACTACTTAACTGGTATAGATTCAGACTTATTTTTCCCTTGACTAGATGGGAAACTAAATACTTACTTTGTCATCTCAGTGAACAGAGTATTTCCGGTAATACTCAAACCACTATAAAACCTTTAAAATAAAGGAAAAACCTAACTTCTGGCTCAGGTTAAGTGGCCAGATACAGAGCTGCACCAATAGCTTTTGGACACTAGATGGCAATATGAGCGCGTCAAATAATAAACATTTCCTTGATCGGTCCAGCGTTAAAATCCCAATGATTGAGGCCGAAACAGGTTAACACATTAGTTAAAGAAAACAAAGTCAAATATAATCAGGTGTTGGAGTGTTAGCTAATACTCCGAATATGTTCAGTAACCTGATACTTCGTGAAAGAAAAGACTGTTAAATTAGAAATTAATTTATGCTTCTGCTGAGTCTGTCTTCAAGCTAATTCTTGGGGCAAGAGTTGGCAATAAACACGTCTCCCATGAAATGTATCTAATGTATACTTCCCTCTCCGTTTTTGGTTTTCACTTTTTAAAAAAATAGCAATTGTTTGGAACGGAGGGTGCCTTACATATATTATTTGTAGATGAAGTACTATGTCTCATGAGGAATGTGAGTCCTAAGACATTGGTGTTTTAAAGGGGAAATGGCTGACTTACTGTAAGCCGTTGGCTGGGCCATTACTGACTGGCAGGATCAACTGGAAGCACTTTGTTAGTGGATTAGGTTGCCCTGGAAATGCCTTCCTGAAACTCTAATGATGCACTTAAGGGAACCCTCTGGGACAAGAGTAAAATGTCTCTTAGCAGGCGTGTCTTCCACCAGCATCCTCTTGGGATGAGATGGGAGGGGGCAGGGGCACATCCAAAGAGACGCTGAGTGAGGAAACAGCCCCAGCAAAAGGTTGCAGGTAACAGCTTCTTCCAGGGAAGCTAAGACACTGACTTACTGATATAAACCCTGGGTTTTCCGAGGGTACCAGTGCTTCGCGTATTCTTTCGAAAGAGCATCATTAATTCCAGAGAGACTGTATGTATGCATGTATGTATTTGTCTATTTATTATTTATTTATTTGCTGGGGTGTGGGTGGCAGAGGGATGGAGAAGAAGGAAAAAAAACAGGAGGGCATTAGCGAGAACATAATTTCATCTTCCTTGATTGAAGAACAAAAAGCCACATTGGGGTCATTGAGTGTGCCTTTTTTTTTTTTGGCATCATTAGAGGGAAAATTTGCCCTTCGGCAAAAATTCAGTGCTCGAGCAAAGGGTTTGTTAATTTTTTTTTAATGAGAAATCTCTGTGTTCCTCACACTGCTGGGCTGGGGGTGGGGTTGCTTCTGGGGTTTGGTGGCGGCGGCGGCGGAGGTCTAACGACGAGAGGAAAGGGCAGAGCAAAGGCCCTCGGAAACTCCAGACTCCCGGCCGGGACGGGGAGGGACGTGGCC